TCAAAAAGGGGTACATGGCTCGGGCGGTCAGGTACTAGATCTAAGAAGGGCTCATTCTAAAAAAGTGTCGGCCCTACCTAACTATGTTTAAGGCTAAACCTTAAGGTAACCAATCCGGGTCGGATCCCGAAGACTCGGATGAATCATCGGACGACTCGAACTCAGAATCCATAGACTCTGGCTCAGACTCGACCTCCAATGGCTCCTCCTCGGGATCATCCTCTGGCTCTAACTCCAGCTCCATCGGCTCCGACTTAGGATCGGACTCCTACTCCATCGGCTCCTCCTCCTCAGGGTCGGAATCCATGTCGGACTCGAAGATGACCGGCCGAGGGTCATTATCCGTCTCGAACACGGCGTCGGGGCTCACTCTCTCTCTATCGGCAGGATGTGGGTCCCATTGGCCTAACCCGTCGAATGGGATGTCGAAAGTCCTAAGGGGTCCATGGAAGCCAGTCTCGTCCCGGTAGCACCAACCAAGATAGGGATGGGCCTTGAGCTATAGCCCGCCCTCATCGACCCAGACAATAGTATAAAATCTAATATACGCCTCCCCGTTCCAACTGGGGTACTTGGTTACCGAACGGTCTATACAGTCCGGGATCCCAAAACGTGACGGTACGCCTGCCATCCTCAAGGCTGGGGGTCTGAAATGTTGGATTTTAATAACAGTGAGAACGAATCTCAGCGAGTAAGCCCCCTAAACCTAAACTAGGCTAACATGCACCTCCAGACAAGCAACTAACCAATCATACAGTCCAGTACACAAACGACTTAGGCCCTCGGTGTCACACCCCGAACCCTACGGCACGTGACAACCCTACCGCGGTCGAATTAGTGCGACGTCCCAAGACGCATCGCCGACCCAAAACCCAAAACAGAGAACAATGCACATGCGGAAGCAACATAACACCAGTACATAACAAAACCTGACCAGGGATAGCGATGAACAACAACCATCATAAATACAACTTGCATTAATACGGAGAATTTACAATATCCATTGACAGCAATATACACAAACCATAACGGGTCAACAGCCACTAACATAAAAAAGGGGTATGTGGCTCGGGCGGTCAGGGTACTAAACCTAGGAAGGGCACCTATCAAAAAGTGTCAGCCCTACCTAACTATGGTCAAGGGTAAACCCTAGGGTAATCAGTCCGGGTCTGATCCCGAGGACTCGGAAGAATTGTCAGATGACTCGGACTCGGAGTCCATAGAATCCGGCTCGGACTCAGCCTCCACTAGCTCCTCCTCGGAATCGTCCTCCAGTTCAGGTTCCAGCTCCATCGGCTCCGGCTCGGGATCGGACTCCCACTCCATCGGCTCCTCCTCCTCAGGATCGAAATCCATCTCGAAGATGACGAGTTGAGGGTCAGAATCCTCCTCGGACATGGCCTCGGGGCTGGCCACCTCCCCGTCTGCTCCCTACTGATCCCAATGACCTAACCCGTCTATCGGGACATCAAAAGTCCTAATGGGTCCATAAACGCCGAACGGATCCCAAAAACACCAACCCAGATACTGATGAGCCTGGAACTGCGGCTTGCGCATGTCGACCCAAACGGTAGTAAAATGTCTAATGTAAGTCTCCCCATTCCCAACGGGGTACTCGATCACCGTCCGTTCTATGCGGTACGGGATCTCAAAACGAATCGGTACTCCTGGCATCCTCAAGGCTGGGGGTCTGAAATGTTGGGTTTTAATAACAATGAGAATAAATCTCAGCGAGTAGGCCCCCTAAACCTAAACTAGGCTAACATGCACCTCTTGACAGGTATTAACCAAACAAACAATTAAGCAATCACACGACTTAGGCCTTCGGGCCCAAATCAACATATATTGACCCTGCAGGTTAGGCACATACTAATAATACCGTACCCAACAATGCACATACATATATCAATTGGCCACGTACACATGCCATGCACATGCTCAATTGTGCACACTTACACGCGTGGCAATGCCATGCTCATGCTTGCACTAATCAATGTACACTTGCACACGTGCCAACTTTCCATTTATTCACCGATCCGCGTTAAGCGCATCAGGTCCGACCCGCGTAAAACGTATCAGGTCTATCACTTTTCGATCGATCTTCGGCCCACGTATTTCGCATCAAGTTCTTGACACAACCCGCGTAAAACGCATCAGGTTGGCCATCTTCCGGTAGTCCGGGCATCACCCCGCGTAAAACGCATCAGGATGGGTTCGATACCCCACGTAAAACGCATCAGGGTTTTATGTGATCACGTGTACTCATACCACTAATTATTATTTGAACCCCGTGTAAGACGCATCAGGGCGATTTAGGTGATCACATGCTCATGTCATTCATGCATACTCACATAATGCACATGTTATGGCAATGCTCGATATGCACATTCATGGCCATAACGTCCACACTCGGCATTCATAATTTCCACATTGAGCGTTCAATTTTAACTTGGCCACATACTCAATTAATGCCACAACATGCTCAATTCACATCTTCATATGTCCAAGGAACCAATTAATCCAAATCAGCCACAACATATAATTGGCATCCGAATTCATGCGATTAAATCAATATAATTACGCACATTCAAGGCCCGCCATGCCTCTCAATTCTCGGCCACATCAAATGCTCAACATGGCATCATACAATCCATCCCGAACCATGCACCATTCGGCCATTACAAGGACAAACCAAGGCACACACGACAATCCACAATTAAGCCCTAAATTAGCCGAACAAGGTCCAATTAAATCCACAATGGCCAGCCACAAATCAGCCCACTCTAGGCCACTAATTCACATCCAAATTAGCACATTAGGCCACCATAATCACCACATTACCAAGCCTAAACACCAGCCAATGCATAATAGCCTAATTAGGGTTTAGGGTTTGTACTCACAAAATTTCCTAAGCTCCAAAGGGTGTCGGTCAAGGGGAAAACGGGCTAGGCGGTCACCGGCTCACGGCGGGACAAGCGGCGGCGCCGGCGGCTCTCACGGCGGCGGACGCGGGCTGGTGGCTCTCGGCTGATCTCACACAACAAAGGGGCGACGGGGATGGTGGTGGTGCCGCGGAAATGGAGAGGGAAAGACGAGATCGGCTGAGGTGGTGGTGAGACGGCCATGGGCCGGCGGTACTCGGGTGGCGGCGCACGACCAAGGGTTGGTCGGACGGTGCTGGTCGATGGCACCGAAATGAGAGAGGAAGAGAGAGAGTGATGGTCGAGTGGTGGTGGTGCAAGGCGGGACACTCATGCGGACGGGCGGCGTGAGCGGCGGTTCCGGCGGGCGGCGGCGTGAGCGGCGGTGGCTGCTCCAGCGGCTCCTCACGCGACCAAGGAAGGAGAGAAAGAGAGAGAGTAAGTTGCTGAGAGAGAGGGGGAGTGGCCGGTTAGGGGTGAAATGAGAGGAGAGAGAGATTGCAAGAGTTTTAGAGAGAATGGGTGAGTGGGGGTTGGTGGCCAACTCCACTAAAAATGTATAGACTACCCACCCCACTAAGAGCTTGATCCAATGGCCAATATTTGAATACCAATCACATCCATTCAAGATCAAGGGCCCATATTAGTTCTAGACACAAATATCTACGGGCACTTTAGGGATTAGCAAAGGAGATGGAGGGCTTCTTTGTCCTTTAATTTCGGCACTAATGGGGTTGAATAATACCAATTAAAACCTCTAAAATTCGGAATTAACACTTAGGGCTTAGGGGCAAATCGGTAATTTTCCATTTTCGGTCCAAAATTCCATTTTTCGACCAAACTGATCTCAAATATGATTGGCCACATAAATACGACGTCGTCCTTGCAAAATAGTCGCGTACGTCCGTGAAATTCGACCCTCAAGTCCGGATTCAATTCCACGATCAATTTCGCTCAAATGCGATTTTAGCGTCTCTCACTGACGGGCGGCTGTTTAGGGGTTACGCGTATCGACTTAGGATTGCTTGAGTCGTGACGGTCTCGATTTCCCAGAGAATGTGAGGATTTATAGCTAGTTCCGGAGATCGTGATCGTTCGGAATAAGTTCGGGATTGTTCGCCACGCGTACTCTCGGTCATGCGGAATCACCCGCGATCCAATCGTACGTCGTTGGTTAAACCAAATCCGTCACCCTCCTTGGATCGGCCCACATTGGCCCAAAATATTCCCTCGTCGTTCTTCAGAATCGGAGCTTGATTCACGATCGAGTTCTTGGGTCCACGTACCGTTTTCCTAGTTAGCCATTCCCTATTGGTCAGTATCTCGAGAATGATCAGTTCCGGGCAAGACTTACTAAAACGAAATGAGAAATAACATCTAATTCATTGATCACGAAAGTGGGTCGAATACAGGATATTACACTCGGGCCCAAATCAAATCTATCAATGACCCTGCAGGTTAGGCACATAATAATGGCACCGAGAAAATCAATCATGGCACATACACATTCTCAATTGGCCACAATCACTTGCCATGCACATGCTCATACTCATTAATATGCACTTCGCACACGAGCCAATTTCTCATTTAATCACCGACCCGCGTTAAACGCATCAGGTCTATCACTTTCCAATTCGTCTCCGACTCGCGTTAAACGCATCAGGTCCATGAGACAACCCGCGTGAACGACGCATTAGGTTGGCCATCTTCCGGTAATCCGGGCATCGTCCCACGTTAAACGCCTCAGGACGGGTTCAACACCCCGCGTAAATGACGCCTCAGGGTTTATGTGATCACACGTACACAATTCACCAATTATTATCTGAACCCCGCGTAAACGACGTCTCAGGGCAATTTAGGTGATCACATGCTCAATGCCACTCGTGCAAACTCGCATGATTCACATAACATGCCAACACTCATTATGCACAAATCATCGCCATATCATCCAACACTTGGGGCATCAATTGAATCCACAATAATCATTCAATTCAACTTATCAACATGCCCAATTCACCATTTAACGTAATTCAGCCACGGTACATAAATTGGCACACCAAAGATCATGCAATTGAGTCATTAAAATCTCACAAGCCCATGGCCCACCATGTTCCTTATCTGGTGGTCCATGTTCCCGCACTTGAAACATGCCCCAAACTTGCTTTGCGGGTGGTTCGGGTTCCTGATGTTTTTCTTTACATGAGGGACAAAACGTCTATTTCCCGCTATTGGCTTCTTCTCGAAGCGGCGGTTGTCCTTAGCCGGGGCAAACCGCGATCCAGAAGCGGTTGCCCTGTCTACCCGATCCCGCTCAATAGCCTGAGCCCTCTCATATAAGTCCTCATAAGTTCTCAAATTCACCGGTATCAACTGACTGCGAATGTTGGCTCTCAGTCTATCCCGAAACCTTCGCGCCTTGTCCTCAGGATGATCTACCATCCTTGGCGTAAACTTAGACAGCCTAGCAAATTCTGCCTCATACTGATCCATAGTCATCTGGCCATGGCGGAGTCTCATAAACTCTGCTAGTTTCCTTTCCCTAGCACTCTCAGAGAAGAATTTTCCATAGAAGTTCTCAGAAAATACGGCCCAAGTCTGAGCGGTACCCTCGGGGAACACTCTCCCCTGGTGGCCTTCCACCAATCACTAGCATTATCTTGCAACTGATACACGGCTAAGGTCACCTTCTCGGCCTCGGTGCACCCCAAAACTTCAAAGACCTTCTCCAACTCTTCCACCCAACGCGGCGCGGCCTCAGGGTCACCTTTTCTGTCGAACTTCAGCGGCTTTAACTTCAAGAACTGCTCCACCAACTGATGCATTTGCCTATTCCCAACTACCTAAGCCTGCCCCTGGTTGGCTTGGTTCCCATTAACAGCAGCAGCTGATGCGGCCTCAACAGCTTGGGTAATATTGGCGGCCCTCTCTTGAGCCTGCCTTCCCATCAAATTCCCTATCTCTTGCAGCGTCTGAATGACCGCATCAAGCCTTGGGTCTCTTGCTTCTTGGCCCATGACACTCGACTGTCCTCTTGTCCCCATTCCTCTGCTCATCTCTACGGTTTTCCTCACTACTCACCTACCTGCTCTAATTCCATTCAGGAATTAGAGACCTAGGCTAAACTATACCAGTCTATGGTCCTAGGCAAAAATCACAACAATAATCACACAGCAGGCAGTCAAATACGAGCAGCATGAAGTCTCAACCAAGGATATATGCGTACTCACCTCGGGTCCTGCCGTACCTGCACTTTACGGGTCAATCACAACAATCACTCAATCACGCAATTCAAACAGTCTGGAGGTACACGTAGCACACAAGTCTCCCTATTAAGCTACCCAAGGTCATCGCTCCCTATCACTCTAGGTTTCGACCGAGTTGGATCGAGCTGACCTTGCTCTGATACCAAATTAACGTGGTATGTCACGCCCCGAACCCTACGGCACGCGACAACCCTACCGCGGTCAAATCAGTGCGACGTCCCAGGACGCGTTGCCAACCCAAAACCCAAAACAAAGAACAATGCATATGCGGAAGTAACATAACACCCGTACGTAACAAAACCTGACTAGGGATAGCAATGAACAACAACCATTATAAATACAACTTGCATTAATACAGAGAATTTACATTATCCATTGACAACAATATACACAAACCAAAACGGGTCAACAGCCACTAACGTCAAAAAGGGGTATGTGGCTCGAGCGGTCAGGGTACTAAACCTAGGAAGGACACCTATCAAAAAGTGTTGGCCCTACCTAACTATGGTCAAGGGTAAACCCTAGGGTAACCAGTTCGGGTCGGATCCCGAGGACTCAGAAGAATCGTCAGACGACTCGGACTCGGAGTCCATAGAATCCGGCTCGGACTCAGCCTCCACTGGCTCCTCCTCGGAATCGTCCTCCAGTTCAGGTTCCAGCTCCATCGGCTCTGGCTTGAAATCAGACTCCCACTGCATCGGCTCCTCCTCCTCAGGATCGGAATCCATCTCGAAGATGACGAGTCGAGGGTCAAAATCCTCCTTGGACACGGACTCGGGGCTGGCCACCTCCCCGTCTGCTGCCTACTGATCCCAATGACCAAACCCATCTATCGAGACATCAAAAGTCCTAAGGGTCCATAAACGCCGAACGGATCCCGAAAACATCAACCCAGATACTGATAAGCCTGGAACTATGGCTCGCCCACGTCGATCCAAACAGTAGCAAAATGTCTAATGTAAGTCTCCCCGTTCCCAACGGGGTACTCGATCACCGACCGCTCTATGCGGTACGGGATCCCAAAACGAATTGGTACTCCTGGCATCCTCAAAGCTGGGGGTTTGAAATGTTGGGTTTTAACAACAATGAGAATAAATCTCAGCGAGTAGGCCCCCTAAACCTAAACTAGGCTAACATGCACCTCCTGACAGATATTAACCAAACACACAATCGAGCAATCACACGACTTAGGCCCTCGGGCCCAAATCAACATATATTGACCCTGCAGGTTAGGCACATAATAATAATACCGTACCCAACAATGCACATACACATATCAATTGGCCACGTACACATGCCATGCACATGCTCAATTGTGCATACTTACACACGTGCCAACTTTCCATTTATTCACCGACTCGCGTTAAACGCATTAGGTCCGACCCGCGTATTTCGCATCAGGCTCATGACACAACCCGCGTAAAACGCATCAGGTTGGCCATCTTCTGGTAGTCCGGGCATCGTCCCGCGTAAAACGCATCAAGATGGGTTCGATACCCCACGTAAAACGCATCAGGGTTTTATGTGATCACGCGTACTCATACCACCAATTATTATCTGAACCCCGCGTAAGATGCATCAGCGCGATTTAGGTGATCACATGCTCATGTCATTCGTGCACACTAACATAATGCACATGTTATGCCAATGCTCGATATGCACATTCATGGCCATAACGTCCACACACGGCATCCATAATTTCCACATTGAGAGTTCAATTTTAACTTGGTCACATACTCAATTAATGCCACAACATGCTCAATTCACATCTTAACATGTCCAAGGAACCAATTAATCCAAATCAGCCACAACATATAATCGGCATCCGAATTCATGCGATTAAATCAATATAATTACGCACATTCAAGGCCCGCCATGCCTCTCAATTCTCGGCCACATCAAACCCTCAACATGGCATCATACAATCCATCCCGAACCATGCACCATTCGGCCATTACAAGGACAAACCAAGGCACACACGACAATCCACAATTAAGCCCTAAATTAGCCGAACAAGGTCCAATTAAATCCACAATGGCCAGCCACAAATCAGCCCACTCTAGGCCACTAATTCACATCCAAATTAGCACATTAGGCCACCATAATCACCACATTACCAAGCCTAAACACCAGCCAACTAATTAACCCCTAAAACACCCTAATTAACTCCTAAACCTATCTAGAAATGCATAATAGCCTAATTAGGGTTTAGGGTTTGTACTCACAAAATTTCCTAAGCTCCAAAGGCTGTCGGTCAAGGGGAAAAAGGGCTAGGCGGTCACCGGCTCACGGCGGGACAAGCGGCGGCGCCGGCGGCTCTCACGGCGGCGGACGCGGGCTGGTGGCTCTCGGCTGATCTCACACAACAAAGGGGCGACGGGGATGGTGGTGGTGCCGCGGAAATGGAGAGGGAAAGACGAGGTCGGCTGAGGTGGTGGTGAGACGGCCATGGGCCGGCGGTACTCGGGTGGCGGCGCACGACCAAGGGTTGGCCGGACGGTGCTGGTCGATGGCACCGAAATGAGAGAGGAAGAGAGAGAGTGATGGTCGAGTGGTGGTGGTGCAAGGCGGGACACTCATGCGGACGGGCGGCGTGAGCGGTGGTTCCGGCGGGCGGCGGCGTGAGCGGCGGTGGCTGCTCCAGCGGCTCCTCACGCGACCAAGGAAGGAGAGAAAGAGAGAGAGTAAGTTGCTGAGAGAGAGAGGGAGTGGCCGGTTGGGGGTGAAATGAGAGGAGAGAGAGATTGCAAGAGTTTTAGAGAGAATGGGTGAGTGGGGGTTGGTGGCCAACTCCACTAAAAATGTATAGACTACCCACCCCACTAAGAGCTTGATCCAATGGCCAATATTTGAATACCAATCACATCCATTCAAGATCAAGGGCCCATATTAGTTCTAGACACAAATATCTACGGGCACTTTAGGGATTAGTAAAGGAGATGGAGGGCTTCTTTGTCCTTTAATTTCGGCACTAATGGGGTTGAATAATACCAATTAAAACCTCTAAAATTCGGAATTAACACTTAGGGCTTAGGGGCAAATCGGTAATTTTCCATTTTCGGTCCAAAATTCCATTTTTCGACCAAACTGATCTCAAATATGATTGGCCACATAAATACGACGTCGTCCTTGCAAAATAGTCGCGTACGTCCGTGAAATTCGACCCTCAAGTCCGGATTCAATTCCACGATCAATTTCGCTCAAATGCGATTTTAGCGTCTCTCACTGACGGACGGCTGTTTAGGGGTTACGCGTATCGACTTAGGATTGCTTGAGTCGTGACGGTCTCGATTTCCCAGAGAATGTGAGGATTTATAGCTAGTTCCGGAGATCGTGATCGTTCGGAATAAGTTCGGGATTGTTCGCCACGCGTACTCTCGGTCATGCGGAATCACCCGCGATCCAATCGTACGTCGTTGGTTAAACCAAATCCGTCACCCTCCTTGGATCGGCCCACATTGGCCCAAAATATTCCCTCGTCGTTCTTCAGAATCGGAGCTTGATTCACGATCGAGTTCTTGGGTCCACGTACCGTTTTCCTAGTTAGCCATTCCCTATTGGTCAGTATCTCGAGAATGATCAGTTCCGGGCGAGACTTACTAAAACGAAATGAGAAATAACATCTATTTCATTGATCACGAAAGTGGGTCGAACACAGGATATTACACTCGGGCCCAAATCAAATCTATCAATGACCCTGCAGGTTAGGCACATAATAATGGCACCGAGAAAATCAATCATGGCACATACACATTCTCAATTGGCCACAATCACTTGCCATGCACATGCTCATACTCATTAATATGCACTTCGCACACGAGCCAATTTCTCATTTAATCACCGACCCGCGTTAAACGCATCAGGTCTATTACTTTCCAATTCGTCTCCGACTCGCGTTAAACGCATCAGGTCCATGAGACAACCCGCGTGAACGACGCATCAGGTTGGCCATCTTCCGGTAATCCGGGCATCGTCCCACGTTAAACGCCTCAGGACGAGTTCAACACCCTGCGTAAACGACGCCTCAGGGTTTATGTGATCACACGTACACAATTCACCAATTATTATCTGAACCCCGCGTAAACGACGTCTCAGGGCAATTTAGGTGATAACATGCTCAATGCCACTCGTGCAAACTCGCATGATTCACATAACATGCCAACACTCATTATGCACAAATCATCGCCATATCATCCAACACTTGGGGCATCAATTGAATCCACAATAATCATTCAATTCAACTTATCAACATGCCCAATTCACCATTTAACGTAATTCAGCCACGGTACATAAATTGGCACACCAAAGATCATGCAATTGAGTCATTAAAATCTCACAAGCCCATGGCCCACCATGTTCCTTATCCTTCGGCCACACCAACACCCAACATGGCATTGCACAATTAATCCCAAACCACGTACAAGTCAGCCACCACATGGTCCAAGCAATCACACATGGCATAACACATTTAAACCATCAATTAGCAACACGCGGTCCAATCAAGCCTATACCAACCAGCCATTAACCAGACCATTCTAGGCCTCTACATCACCTTCAAA